AGCGCCCAGCGCAGCCCTGACGCCTCCGCCTGAGCGTCAGGCGCCTGGCGGGGAGAGCTGGGCCGAGCTGGGCTGAGTCATAATAAAAGACGCGTTTGCTGAGCCAAGTGGGAAGGGGGGGCCTCAAGGAGTTATGTTAAATGGCAAGAGGATCAAAATCAGAGGAGGGATTTTCTTTTTAAGTGGTCAAAACTGGAAACCTGCCCCAGCGCAGCCCTGACGCCTCCGCCTGAGCGTCAGGCGCCTGGCGGGGAGAGCTGGGCCGAGCTGGGCTGAGTCATAATAAAAGACGCGTTTGCTGAGCCAAGTGGGAAGGGGGGGCCTCAAGGAGTTATGTTAAATGGCAAGAGGATCAAAATCAGAGGAGGGATTTTCTTTTTAAGTGGTCAAAACTGGAAACCTGCTCTATGGTGTCCCGTACAAAGATAACGCATTTGATTTATAACTTGCGTACATTTTGCAGATATTCTTTCTATCTAATAAAACTTAGAAAAATTTTATTTTTAAAAAATATATCGCTTCATAGGCGAAATTACTGAGGCTAGCCACTTCAGGCTAGTTATTTGATTTCTGTGCCTTTCTTCCCCAAACACTTTTAAAACGGGAGGAGGATAGTGAAGGTAAGCTTCAGTGAACAGTTTTAAAAGAAAAAGGCAAAAAATGTGAAGCAAGGATTTTTTTTTCAAATAGGATAAATAAGATAAATGTTACGATGAAAAAAAAAATGGGGCCTCCAAGTAAAAATTAGAGTTCTAACCAAAGTAAAGGAAAGAAGGGAACTAAAAGAAGGCAAGAAGAAAGGGACAAGAGGGAAGGAGAGAGGGAGGAAGGGCAGGAAGATGGACGGTGAAAAGGGAGCTATAACTAGACTCAGTCTCAGTAGCCCCACAGAGCTGAGGAATATGTTTACCCTCTAGAAATTAATGACAAGTTCCACCTTCTGAGGGAGATTCTTCTTCCCGACCCGGGAATCTTAACTCAGGTCCTTGTGCCTGTGAGGTAAGCTCAGCACCACTGAGCTAAGCCCAGACCCAGAGATTTTTTTTTTTTTTAAACGTGTGTAAACAAGCGACTGTCTGAAAATGAGCCCCAAATGAGCCTTTGCTCTAATGAATGAGATTTGGCAGATCTGCAAATTGAAGAAATTCTTCCTTGTTGTGCTTCAACTTGAGGAGTTGAGTCATCAAACCATAGCAAAAATTAGTGGGCTGGATTCCTGAAAGGCTCACCCAGATGGAGGCATTCTGGTTAGTTTTAATACTGTGTGATGTTCCCTTCTGTACTACTGTCAATTTTAGAATAAAGGAATTTGAATAAAGATTTGAGGAAACAACATGAGCATAAAAGCCAAACTAGTTACTTAATATTTGGGTATCCACCCACAGGGAGCTTCCAGGGAAGATTCCAAAACAAGTTATAATTTCCACCACTCACTTTCATTTTCTCTCCCCTTTATTTTATTTTGGTTGTATTATATATGTATTTTTAAAAAACGGTTAAACTGCCTAGGTAAAGGTGGTTTTAATTAATATGAAAGAATGGAAGGAATTTCAGCTAGACCTCTACATAAGGTAAAACTTTTTAAAAGGTTTTTTAACTGAAGTTTTCATGAGAATGAGAGTAAGTTGGCAAATATGATTTTTGTTAGACAAAACTATAATGACTGAAGTGAAAGAAAGTGGAGTAGAAACCAGAAATAATTCTATACTGTAATTATGGTAAGAACCAAGACTTAGAGGGAAGTTTCCTCTTTCAGAGAGAAAAGTGACTGCCTGTGGCAGCCACTCAGCCTTTCAAATAGAAAGAAAAAAGGAAAAAACAAACAAAAGTCCCAAATCCTCTATCAGACTTTTTAAATGATTTGCATTTCTCTAAGAGCTCTCTTATATGATAAAAGGCCTAAAGGTGCCTCTTTCTACACCTTTTAAGTAATAATTTTTGCAGAACCAAAAAATAAAAAATAAGATAAGAATCCTATTCCTTTTATTTCCATCTTGCTAAGCCTTTGGGGCTGAGGTAAACAGATTATCATTCAGCCATTATTAGTATGAAGCAAAGAGATAAAATCTTAAATTGTGGAAAGCCTATAACCTAAAAAAGAGCAAGAAAGCAAACCAAGGCCCAAAAATAGAAAAAGAGATTAAGAAACTTTTCTGGAGAAATCTTTGAACTTCTGGCAGTAAAATGAATGCTTCTCATTTAAAGGAATAAGTAACACAAACTGAAACTAGGAATCAAGAAAATTTAGTCTGATTAAATAAAAGGTTTACCAATTCTGAAGAGCTTTTGGCTGAGAGGAGAACGTGGCTCATTTTTAAACTGAGACAATAACTGCGCACCTGATTCCCTTAATCACTTTTGTATCCACTTTTTAGTTGGACTTTGACACTCTGTAATCTGTAGTTTGACTTAGATTTTTGAGCACGTTATAAATTCACTCAAAAGTGAATTTTGAATGATGTTTGCTTTGAAAGCTCTTATACTCATTAATTAATATTGATAAATATAGAAATAGAATATCAATTATATAAATAGAGTATCAATTATAATTAAATTATATAAATTTGATGATTTACAAACCCCTTTTATATAATTGAATTTAACCTTAAGATGCTAATACAATTTTCAATTAACATTTTGTGCAGCATTGTATTGGAAAACGTTGATTGTTTGGATTTCAAAAGACCTTATTTTCTTTCTAATTTAAACAGAGAATCCAGTGCCATATTCCAAATATTCTGTTAAAAGTTACTGGTTGCTAAATCACAGAAAGAAACCAAATAGCCTTAACAAATTTATAGTTCTTGGAAACTAATTTCAGAAATGCTACTACAGACTGTATCAAAGCTCAAGTCTTATTGTCAAAACAATTTTGAACTTTAACAGAGAAGATTGTGTTCCAAGACTGGTAGATAATCTAATAATCTAGTAATCTAGCTCGGTAAGGGCATCCTTAATGATACAGCTTGCTCGCTTGCTTGCTTGATTGATTGATTGATTGCTTTTTCCTGCTAGGGATGGAAATCAGAGATGTATGCCTTCTAGACAAAGGCTCTACCACTGAACTACATCCCCAATCCAAAGGTATAGATTCTTATTCTCTTCTATCAGTAAATATACCTACTTATAGAATTTGTTGTACATATCTTTAAAGTGGTATAATTGAAACTATTCGAGTCATTTAGGGTAGGTTAAGTAATGGTCACTTTAGGGCTGGGGGGTTTGCCTCAGTGTTTCTGCCACCTGCCTTTCAAGCACAAATGCCCTGAGTTCAATCCTGGTACCAAAAAAAAAAAAAAAATCGTCACTTTCTGATTTTTAAGTTATCTCTAGAACTCCTTCCATTTTTATACTTGGTGTGCCCAAAAGTATCCATAAAAATTTTAAAAGGATAAAGATGGAAAGTTATCTTGATATTGAATAATTATTCTATCATAATTTCAAAAATACTGAAGTTCGCTATTAAGAATGTCTGACTGAAAACCAATCTATAGATTCTATCTACATCTGTTTAGGGTATAAAAACACATAGTATTTGGAATTAACAGATGAAACCTCAGACAGATTCAATTCATCTTTATTTTTCTCTGTTTTAAGGTTCCAAAAAATAGATAAATTTTACAAAAATTACTGTATGTTTTATGCTAATAAAATGTCCAGAATTTCTGCATGTAATATTTTTTGCCAAAAGCACTGCAGAGAAGCAAGTGTTATTATTTTAATTTTACAACAACTAAAAGAAAATAATTCATATATTAAATTACTGATCAATTATAGGCTATAATTAGTAGCTATATGAAGTTACCATTTCTTCCAAAGCTTTTTGAGAAATTAATGGTCTCAGTGTGAGGAACCCAGTGAAAGAAAAACAAATAAATTAGAATTACTATGGTTATATAGTATTTTGAGTTGTTGCAAAAATTTATTTATGCAAAGAAATTACTTATCTGAGAAAGTGGTATCCAAGAAGTGTTGACAATATGTGTACAACTTCCTAAAAATTAAGGAGCATAGCAGAAACTGTTAGTTTTACTAATCTCTGTGTGCTCCATGCATTTATAGCCTCCTTTGCAGTCATGTTAATCATAAGACTAGGTTCTAGAAAATAGAATACTGACAAATATATGCCATGGTCTCTTTGCTTTTGAGTTGATTCATTACAGAAATTCCAGCAGAGGACTATAAGGACTGTATCTGTCATCATCAATTCAAGAAACAGTAAGCCATGCTTTTTATTCAAAGAGAGGGAATTTAACACGAGAACCCTGAATACACAGATATGTCATCTTTGAACCTGAAGAAGCAGAAAGTTACTTGAATAATTTCAAGATAATTTCAGGAAATAGGTACTACCCCTAGGGCTGGCTGTAGTAGAGTGCTTATAAAGTGACTTCAGTAACCTCTACCTCCTGGTATTCATGTCCCATAAAATGCTTTCCCTTAAAGTATAGGCTGAACATGTAATGAAGCTTGTCATGAATAGAACCAAACAGACATAATGAGATGTCAATATTAGGGTATGAAAAGATCGTGCCTTCTGTCTTGCCATGTTCTCTGTCTCTCTGTCTTTGTTTTCCCCCCTCCCCGAATCATTCTAGGTTGATGTATCATGAATCAGTATGTTGAGAGAGAATCTCATGTGGCATAGAACTGAACATTCTGACAACCACAGGAGAAAGCCTGGAAACTAAACTCTCCTTCTCGTCAAGCCCTTAGATGATATCATTGCCTCTCTCAAAAACTAGAATGCACCTCATGAGAAGGCTTGAGTCCAAAATACCCAATGAAACTATGTTTGTATATCTGACATACACAAACTCTAAATTGAAATAAACATTGGCTTTGAGATAATAAACTCTCTTAAAAAATGTTTTGATTGAAATCTTCAGGATGTAGAATTCAACAATTTTCTAGACTTACCTTATCTCCTTACCAGAGTAGTCAAAACACTTAAAACTCATTCAGGCAAGGGTTTAGCTCAGTGGTGCTGCCCTCTGCCTCACCAGTGCAAGGTCCCAAGTTTGATCCCCAGTACCAAAAAGAAAAAAAACAGCAACAACAAAAACTCACGCTCATTGAAGAATTTGTATAACAATAACATGGAAGCATTATTATTAGATACAGAACATAAATCACAGCAAACAAGTGTTTATTTTCTGACCTATCTTCCACTGTTATTTGTTTTCTTTATGATTCCATTCATCATGGGGAGTTGGTATGTGTACACAATACATCTTAACTATTTTTATATTCCTTTCCCCTCTCCTCGTTCATGCCTCCCTTCATCTTGTATTGAGTTTTGGATAATTTCTTCAGCAATAATAACAAATTCACTATGGAAACTAAAGGGAAGGACTGGGTTACCAAAACCTAGGAACTCAGAGAATAATCATATAGAAATTGATCAGAAAAAAAGACTGTGTCTTAATTACTTTCTCCTCAATGGGACAAAATACCTAGCACCTACAATTAAAAAAAAGGAGAGGTTTATTTTGGCTGTCTGGCTTACAGACTCATGGTTTCAGTCCACAGTCAGCTGGTTCCAAGACAGAAACAAAATGGCAGAGAGGCAAGGTGAAGGAAAAGGGACTCAATCCATAGAGGACAGGGAGCAAACAGAAAATGGAGGAGCTGGAGACAAGAACACACCCTTCCAGATCACACCCTCAGTGACTCACTTGCAAGCAGGCCCCAATTCCTAATGCCACATTCAGCTGCTGAACTCATCAATGTATGAATCCACAGATGGCTATAGTGTCCCTGTGATAGTTACTTTTCACACACATGAGAATTTGGGGGCACATTTTAGATCAAAACCCTAAGAGGCTGTATTTTGTAGTACTCATAAAGATGGAATGAACTTCCTTCCAATTATAAGTAAGATATAGCTTGTAACATTCCACATAACAGAAAAAAAAATAAAGGAATTTTATTACTCAGGAAGAAAGAACCAGTACCAGCAGGTCTGTGCTGACCTGATTAAAATGGAGTTAACTGAGTCTTAGGGATGGCTAGGAAGTAGACTGGGGAACAGTTCCCATGTATGGATGGGCGGGAAGTTTTTCAAAGTTGAATTTTTTGCTGGTGGCAAAGGCGAGGGCACACACAAGCTTTCTTTGCATAATTAAATGTGCAATCAAATGGGAGGAGGGAAATGAGGCTAAAAAGAAGACAGAAGTCACATGGAAAATTGCAATTTAAAAGCTGAGAAGAGGGTCCCTGAGAGTACTATGACTTCATAACAGGGAATTGTAGCCAATACTTCTGAGAGTATATAAGACGAGTTCTGAGACTATTAAGAGACATTGAGTGTCTAACAGTTGCTACCCAGGCCATAGTAACAGAGATAAAGAAAGTGCCCTCTTTCTTCTAATTTCCCAAATCCCTTTAGTGATACCTGTTCACAGAGATTAACAAGTGTTCCAGAAATGCATACCTGTTGCCGATTAACTAATGGTCAACTTGTAACTCTCAGCTGAACTGAATCAGAGTGGTCGGGCATGGAGGATCCACCCAAGGATTGATACCAATAGCCATAAAGGGAGAATTGGAGGGGAAGACGTTGGCCTGTTGATTTTCTAGGAAAAGCTTACTGTGGATGCTTTTTCTGATGTGAACCAGGCTGTTCTCATCGGAGGAGGAGCTCAGGGCCTCACTGTTGAGGGGAATGGCTGCTGTTTTCATCAGGGGAACCCTCATCTTCACTGTGAACATCACTTCTTGGCTCCCCTGTGCATCCCTCAGCTTGGTGGCACAAATCTTTCATCTCCCTGGCATAGGTTTTCTGGCTTCCACCACTGCACTTTGGGCCTTCCCGGTGCAGATCCTCAATACGGACAAGCATGAGACATTGCCGTGGGCTCCAGGCCACTCGACGGACTCATGGAGGACATTGGCTTGGACTCTAAGCCTTTAGCTAGACTCGTGTAGGACATTGCTGTGGGATCCAGGCCCTCTGCTAGATTCTCTGTGCCCCCAGTGTTTTGTTAATCTCTTGCACTTCTTTGCATTTGACTTTTTAGGTAATCATCATAAAATAATCCTATAAATGATGTGTCCTGTATTTAATATATTCCCTTGCCAAAAGCCTGACTACAGCACCTGTCCTACAGGAGTACACTTAGTATTATAGAAGATGCAATGAAAGAGTAGATTTGGAGCTCAGTCAATGGACAAGCAACCATCACACTCCTTACCTTTGTCATTTCAGCATCTGTGCACAAACCTTTTCATATTTTTTAATTTCTTTAACAAAATACACCCCTACTGTATATTTAGATACCAAAGTCCCAGGTATTAAAAGCATGGTCCCTACTTTGGGGTTATTAGAAGGTGGCAGAAACTTTTAAAAGGAGGGACCTAGTGGAAGTCATTTAGATGATTGGGAGCACGTCCTCAAAGTGGACTGTGAGACCCAATTCTCCTCTTCTTTCTCTCCATTTCCAAGTCACGAAATGAGTAATTTTTCTGTCATAAGTTCCGTCATGATGTGCTGTCCCAAGCCCAAAGTAATGGAGCCAACCTACGTATGGACTGAAACTTCTCAACCTCACTTTTCTTTGAATATAGCTCTGCTGTAACCAACTTTAAACCTTTTCTTTTTGTAAGTGTATTATCTCAGGTATTTTTATGGTGACAGAAACCTCACTAACAAACACTCTTCTCAAAGAAGGGAATACACATAAGAATATTAGCATCGCTCTAGTGATTTACTGGTTAGATTAGTCCTCTGCTGGCTTGGTCATGACCCCACCTCAAAAACTACATAACTGAGCAACTAAATAAAATCACTAACATTCACCAGTAATCCACATTTTAAATAATAAGGACATAAAGAGGAAAGAGAAAACAATACATGCAAACTTGCTAGGTTCATTATCCATTTCCTATTCCTTAAACCTAAGCCAGAATCTCTGTTGATCAATTTTTAACATGGTTGGGTGATTCAAATATTTTCTTGAAGAACCTAATTAATCAGACATTCTATCTGTATTGGTCTTCTGTAGTATTCTGTTAATCTTTAATATTATATGTGTACATGCTAAAAAGTAACCTAGAGAAGCCATTGGATTCCTACTAGAATCCTCTCTATGTTCATTGTACAGTAGTAACTAAATTTCATTTCTCCCTGATAATCAAGATCAATCTCTTTTTTGTTTTGCACCAGGGATTGAACTCAGGACCTTGTGCTTATGAGGCAGATGCAGTGCCACTGAAGTAAATCCCCAACCCAATATTAATCTCTTCAACCAATCAACTACCCGCTTCTTTAACGGTTCTCATGAAAATTAATAAAAAGCTCAAATTGGCCAGGTAACAATCTTATCTTTCAATTAAATGCAATATTAGTTGTGTTCCAAGTGAAAACATTCTCACTTCTTTGGGAACTAAGATCACTGAATTAGCAGAGTGCAAAAGTCCAGGGTTGGAAAACAAACATTTAAAAATGGACAATGAAATATCATAGTAAAAAGATCCACTTTTCTTTCAGTCTGTTGATTCTTAGGGTCATGAATTCTGAGTTTGGGACAACTGGTATCATATGTGTTCAAAACAGATACTGTATTCTGTAACAGAATATCCCAGCCAGTGACATATATGGAAAGACTAGTAGATACCATTCTGCCGCACTTCTTTCGCCATAGAGACTTCAAATGGCAAAGCTAAGTATTCTGTGAGTACATGAGTGGTAGAGCTGAACAAAACATTACCATTAAAGCAAATCCCTATTCAGGATAAATACACATTGCTCTGATGTCAAGTCTGTCTCATTGATGGACACACCAATTGGTGAAAAATCTGACTTCTTGATGTCCTTTTTTATCCCAGAGCCATTAGGAGTGCTACTGAATATAGAACATCTGCTTTGGACTTTGAGTTGGAGAATTAAATGTTTATTTCATTAAGCCACTGTGATTTCAGTTATGTTTATAATAGGATTCAGCCTTTCTGAATAATTCAAGCAGGAAATTTCATTTCCAAAAAAACATACAATTCTGATGATGTATAAAATAACCAGACTCTTTAAAAAGTTATTACAAACCCAAACTTTCCCTGTAATATATAATATTAAGAAATATAAGGACCTCGTGGCACAACGGTAGCACGTCTGACTCCAGAAATATATATATATACAT